TGATCAAATAAATCATTCTTTGATTTGAATTTGATCAAATCAAATATTCAAATGTCAAATCGAATTGCGGAACCCTAGGTATGTATAACAAAAATAAGCACACTTTCTATCTTTGTTAAAATATATATAATATAATAAGTGATACATTGCGTAATTGTCTTTGGTAACTTGCTTGTGTAATAAAATAATTTCACATATAAATCAATCCTTTCATTTTTTTGCATAGATCACATACTGAATGTACTACCTACAGGTTTATACAGAATGGGCAAAATATTGTAATCTGCTTATTTTGGGTTAGACTCTTTAATTTATAACAAAGTTTTTTTGAGGAATTTAAAAGTTCAATGAAATAATTATGAGGATTCTTGATTCCTAAATACTATAATTATAGCTTTGAAAATTTCTATACAATAGTTATCCAGCAAGCTTACAAGAATTATAAGAAGAAACCTAAATCTTTGGCAAAATAAGTTTAAGACTGACAAATAGAAATATTTAGGTATTATTCCTTATGATGAAGGTTATTATTATATTAATGAAGAACTAATAAAATTTAACTGAAAAAGTGATTTTTTTAATTTATTATTAACAAATCTTATATAGTGCTAGAACTTGAACAAAAAAGAAATGAAATCAATTAGCATGATTATATTAAATAACCTTTGAATATACTAGAAAATTATTACAATAAGAAGGTTATATCCTTTTTTTTGATAAAAATTAGATAGATTGGTCTACTATGTTAAAATGGATACAAAATCCTAAATATTATCAAGATACTGAAAAAAATCTTATTAGTAGATAGTTTGTTAGAAAGGACATATTAGAATTGTGTGACATAGAAATCCATATCCTGATGTCTAAAAACTAGTGATATAAAGATAAAACATAACTAGAATATTCTAATAAAAAATTATTAACTTTATTGGCATTATTTTATAGAGCTAGCCCAAAAAATCATTTATAAATTTTTAGAAAATGATCGAAGAGATATAAATATTAGCTATTTTTTTCCTAATGTTCTTCAGAATAATATGGAAGGCAATCAGTAGAAAAGAGGAAAATTCAAAATTTTTGTTAATTTTTATTATTAAGCTAAATTTGTGCACATAACCGAGATCAGCCAAATGATCCAATAATATAAATTTTAACCAAAATCTGTATTTTTCTCTTTTTTACTAATCATGTCCTATATATTTATCTATTATAATACATGTAAACATGTGCAATATAAATAAACATATTTCTGATTCTCATTAAAATATATATAATATAATAGTGATATATTGTCAATTATCTGTATGAATTTGACTATTACTTGTATAATAAAATAATTTCACAGACAAAAAAGGTAAATATTAATATAATATCTATAATATTATAATATATAATATTTACTAATCTATTTTATAAGTCTTTCTAGCTTTACAGAGTTAAAACATTTGTCTAATTTAAATATTACAATAAATAAAAAAAAATTATGATAATGGAATTATTTGTAAAAACTAGGATTCTGCAATTTGAATAGGCGATCACATTTGAATAAAAAATGTGCAGTAAATTTCACTGAAAACTTTAGCTAATACATAGTCAATATAATATCCTTCACGCCTAATCTCAAAATAGTCGACGCTGAAAAAAACTTAATGCAATTTATCTTCTCAGCTATATCACTGCTTTGAGTAAAGGTAATTATGATATCCTCTATATTGATATCATCAGCAGTAATCACTTCTGTATTAACTGGCTCTCTTAGTTCTCCATACCTGCCCACTTATCACTCTCGTGGTCAGAAAAAAAAATAGCTATCTTGCTGGCTAAAGGGTTTTTATATCACTTGCTAAATTTTGCAGGAGAAAACAGATCCCAGATTTTTACCAGCAATTACGCACTGCATTTCGTCATGACGTTAATCCCCCTACAAATCAATAAAAATGATTTCATGATTAACATACATTCTCAAACCCCATATGCAAAATATTGATTGCCAAAAAAATAATATCTTTATTCGAATATTGTTTTGTTAATGTGAATTGGAAACATGACGCAAAAATAAATGCAAGAAAAAAAATCATGCGATTCACATGTCGTACAACTCCTATTCTTTGGCAAGAATTTTTCCGATATCATACTGCGTATTTTGGGTGATTGATCTAGAAAAAAATGGAGTAAACGTGACATGATATCATGATCAGAAAATTCCGATCGTTTCCCAAGGGAACAGTTTTTGTTGTACAGGAAAGAATTTCGACATTGATATTTGTGCAATAAAGTAAGTGCTATTATCAGTCATGTGAAATGTCTGATGAAAATCATTTTGTATTAAGTAAAATTTATGTAACCAATATTTAGGATATTTCACTGTATAGCTAACCACTGAAAAATCCAACATATTAAACATATATGAATTAAGCGAATTGATGAAACATCACGTGCTCTATCAATTTTTATCATCGAAATTTTTTTTTTAGCAATTTTTTTTTATTTATATTATATAGAAACTCATTCGAAATGTAAGCTTTTTTAAGATCCTTTTAAAAGTAACAATAAATCTACAGCTTTGATGATAGAAATATGTGCAACTTTATGAGAAAAAAAGATTATTATAAGTTTATTAAAGTGGTTATTCAAACGGATTTTATATAAAATATAAAAACTGAATTATGGAAAGTTTTAATTCAGTTCATTGTATAATGTCGCAACAAAAAAAAGCCAGGTTTGTTTATTTTATTATTAGTTAATAATATATTCTTATATTTACAATCTTAAACTAATTATATTTATTGTTTCTCTTTATTGATTTGTGATTTTTGTTTCTTTCTATTTCGATAACTCAAATGTCATGCAATTTTTTTTGTGTTCAATGTTCTGAAATTTTTAATAAAACTGCCAAAGCTAAGTTCAGCTGTTTTTCTGTTGGAGTAGTATTCACTAATGATGTTAGTATTGCCAATTCTTCTTCTGTTATCTGATGCTTATATATATTAATACGTTTTGGTTGAGATTCCTGTATTTGATCAATAATATGTATTGAACATTTAGCTAATACATTAGATTAATGATATCTTTTTCGATAAGTTTCTTGTGTTTTTTCTACCTGCTTTTGTTTTTTTTCTGTTTTTTTTAAAGTTACAACTTTGCTAATTATTACTTCTTTAGCCCTTCTGCCAATTGTATTAATAGGTTCCAATTTAAGAATCTCTTGCCAAAATATTTTATTTAATCGTTGCTTTCCAATTTTATAGCAATTATATAATTGATTAAAGCCATCCGAATTGAATTCAAAGCAATTTTGAAATAACTCATGTTGGTTTGGTAAATTAAGTTGAAAAGCTTCAACCAATTTATCAATTAATTTTCAAAGTATCTCATGTCGACTTTTTATAGCTCGATCTATTTTTGACATAACATTATCTTCAATAAATTCACTAAAGAGTAAGTCTATTCTTTCTTTTTCATTTTGTGCTGATTTAATTTGACGTTTTAAATTATCTTTATTAATCATATTTCCTGTGATATTTTACTTTATAAATTTCACACCAAAGGTTTCTAAGGCTTCATCAAAAGCAAAATAATGTCTATTTCTAGTTAAATTAACTGATCCAACATAATTTAACAAAGTTTGTATATATAGATAATTTATAAGAATAGCCAAAAAATGTATAGTAGAACGTGCATAATTCATTTTACCAGTTACTGGAAATAATGATGCAAATGTTGAAAGACATTGAATTTGTAATTGTGCATTTCCAATATGTATTCTTACTTTATGTCTTTTCTATAAACTTGCCTATTGAAAAAAATGAAGCCATACTTTAAATGTTTCATTTTCTGAATTCATAATATTTAACATGCTTATTTTTTTTTTCTATATAGATTTGAATTGAACATCCAACTGCAGTCCATATTAAATCAAGTATACTACAAGTAGATCTATAATCTACAACTTGCTCAAGTTTATCTAAAAGGTTACTCCAAGAAAATTTGCTAAATTATAGATCCTGTAACTTGAAAATATTATAAGTAATATGTTACACATATTCTTATTAGTATGCTATTGTCCTAACAATGGTTTAATTTGAGGATTATTAATGTGATGTTTAAGAACTAGAGCTCCGAACAGGTCGGGTCGGGTCGGGTAATTGACTTGACCCGACCTGATAAGGTCAGGTCAGGTCAGACAT